TGGCCAGATTATTATGATCTCTGAACACATAATAATCTGGCCACTCAGTATATATATATTAGAGGCCCAGTGCATGAATTCATACTTGGGTGGGTTCTGGCCAGGGGGAGGGGACATGGGTGGCTAGCCAGCCTACCTGCTGGTCCAACTCCTGGTAGAGGGGACAATTTGCATATTAGCCTTTTATTATATAGGATATACACTGAGTGGCCAGATTATTATGTGTTCAGAGATCATGCCCCAAGGGAACCCCCACCCTGATCCGGGACACCCTTCAGGGCAAAACAGCTGGCCCCCATCCATGCACCAGGCCTCTATCCTATCTAATAAAAGAGTAATATGCATATTGACCATTACTCCAACACAAGATGGCTGCCCCCATGTGGACACAAGATGGCTGCCACAAGATGACCAGCAGGGGAGGGCAGTTGGGGGCGATCAAGCCTGCAGGGGAGGGCAGTTAGGGGTGACCAGGCCTGCAGGGGAGGGAAGTTAGGGACAAACAAGTTGGCAGGAGAGAAGTTAGACATCAATCAAGGCTGCCAGAGGAGTAGTTAGGGGTGATTAGGCTGGCAGGCAGAAGCAGTTAGGGGCAATCAGGAAGGCAGGCAGCTGAGCAGTTGGGAGCCAGCAGTCCTGGATTGTGAGAGGGATGTCCGACTTCCCGTTTAGGCCCGATGCTGGTAGGCCTGGTCACCCCTGATTGGAGAGGATGCATGAATTTCGTGCACCAGGCTTCTAGTGTGTATATATAAGTGTGTGTGTGTGTGTGTGTGTGTGTGTGTGTATGTGTGTGTATTCATATGTATACTTCCTAAGAGAATACACTTATATATATGATATGACCAAAAGTATTTATTTCAAATATTAATAGTAGTTTGTTTAGTTATTAAAAACTATTTTTCTTTTTACACTTTTTCATATTTTCTAAATCTCACTCTTAAGTTTCCAGGTAACTGCTGACTGAAGCAATCATTTACAAAGTCCAGAGTCTCCACAAGATGTTTGTGTAACACACTGTAGGTGAGTTAGGTCCCCAGGATATGACGGCATTCCCTCCTGGTGGCTAGCACTGGGCAGGAAAGGCTTGTCTGGATTATCGTTTCAACCCTTTTCCTTGTGAGCACCTATTGTCTCCTCAGGCAATTACAGATTCGATCCCTGGCCACAACAAACTCTGTTTAAAGGTGAGTGCAATAATGATTTTATTTGTAATCTTAATATTTCAGCATTGTAGGTTATGTTTCCAACAAACTTCTTTCATGTGTAAAAATTACAGAACTCAGATTGTGGGCATTTCTCTTTCATTTTAAAACATAAGCAAAGCTGCTTTCCTAAAATATCAAAAGAACCAAAGGTTCGTGTTTCTTAAGGAAATTTTCTTCCAGAAACTACCTTGTGGTTTGCGATTAAAAGCAAAGCAAACATACCCTTTGGCTGAATGATCAGTCTTGTGCCTGGGCTCCTGGTCTGCACTAGCAGTGGTAAATAGCATGCCTTGAGCCCCTGCAGTGCACACAGAAGAAAGAAAAACAAGAAATAAGAGATTTTAAAAGTTTACATGGAGAGGGAAAGCAAGAAGCTGTACTTGAGTGCAAACTAGCTCAACCTCTGAACCTGCTGGGTAAGATGCACTAAGCTGCCTCACAGACAAATCAGGCAAGGAAGGGTGAACAGGTCAAAATCAGATGGACTTGAAGCTACACTAAAATTTTTTAAATGCTCACAAAGCCATTTCTATTGACAATGGGGGTCACAGATTTTGAGAGTTGAGGCGTGGATGCCAGTTGTGAGAAACTTGCGGAATCACTGCCCTTCTCCCCGGTTCCAGCAGTGGAAGATTTTTCCTCACTCTTCCTCTGCCCCTGAGCATTCTTTTGTTCTGGGCTTATATGACCATCTGTGGTAAAGGGTAAGTGAAATGTCCTCATATCACGTTAGATAGCCCCCAAGTGCCTAGAGGTGTTGCAAGTTAACAAATACGGAAGCATTGGATATTATATGCTGGGCCATGAATAAAAATAATTCATAAAATAATTACCTTTCTTTGTATCAAAATGATATTTTTAACATAATTTCTCTTCATAGCAATAGAATGTTATAAAAGGAGACACTACCAATTAGCTCTTTTATGAGCATCTCCTCAAATAAGAAGCTCTTTTTTTAGAAATCCTCATCCAAGGAGTGAGGATACTCTCTTCATTGATTTTTAGTGAGAGTGGAAGGGAAGGAGGAGGGGGAGAAAGAGAATGACTCATCCATGTGAGAGACTCATCAATTGGCTGCCTCCCACATGTGCCCTGACTGGGGGTGGGAATCGAACCAAGACCCAGATAGGTGACCTTGACCGGCAATCGAATCTGCAAGCCATGCATGGGCCAATGCTCTAACCAGACTGGGTGCTGAGCAGAGGGACTCAACAAGGGTTTCCTTGTTGAAGCAATCCTGTGGAGGAAGACCCCAAATTGGGGGTGGGGGGGCGGTTTGTTGAGTGGTTACACAGGGAAACTTCATATTGTTTAGAAACCTCAGCTCCTCTTATTTATTTTAAAACATTTTGCCGGCCAGAGCTCAAATAAGAGGCTTTGACACATATCATCTTACTTTAGAGCAGTTTCCAAATTGCTTCCGAACAGTTAACAGCCAAAGAGGAGATAAGAATATTTTTATCTTTGTGCAATTATAAATGAGAACTGACATGAAATCCACCTATACTTTTCCAGCTTTGGGAAGTTCAAACAGATAGTGGGTGCTGCCGATGGAGAATTGGAAACCTCTTGTACTTTACCTTCTCCCAATCACATGCTGATCACACAAAATGCCCTAAGTTCTCCTCTGTACAGTTAAGATAACTATTCTGGAAGAAATCTATTTCTTCCAAATCCAGTAAGAAAAACAAATGCCCTAACCGGTTTGGCTCAGTGGATAGAGCGTTGGCCAGTGGGCTGAAGGGTCCCAGGTTCGATTACAGTGAAGGGCATGTGCCTTCGTTGCGGGTACCCCACTTGGAGGTGTGCAGGAGGCAACTGATCGATGTTTCTCTCTCATCGATGTTTCTAACTCTCTATATTTCTCTATAAAAAAAATAAGTAAAATATTTTTTAAATGCTTAAAACTATTTAAAAAATAAAAGTAAGAAAAACAAACAACAGCAACAGCAGCCATCCTCTGTGTGTGGGTTTCCTTGTTGAAGTAGTCCTATGTAGGAAGACCCAAATTGGGGATGGGGTGGTGGTTTGTTGAGTGGTTACACAGAGAAACTTCATATTGTTTAGAAACCTCAGCTCCTCTTATTTATTTTAAAACATTTATCTTTATTGTTGAAAGTATTACAGATGTCCTCTTTCCTCCCCACATTGGCCCCTCTGCTCAGCACCCAGTCTGGTGCTTGGGCTAATGTGTAGGCCTCACACCACTCTGTCTGATCACAGCCTAAATTCTGTCTGACCACTCTACTGTCCCCTGGCTCTGTGCTGCTGAGGAAAACCAGGAAAGCTGAGCTACTCTACCAGGGAACTAAAGTCGGCAGGCAAATGCAGGGACCAGCTTAGTCATCGACATCCTGCGCCTGCAGCCCTGTACCTAAGAGTTAGGTAAAAATCGTGGGAAGCATCTCCAGTCTCTGTCTACTGAACCCAGACAGTGACAGTGAATTCTGTTTCTTTGTCTCTCACTCAGAGCCCAGCAGCACACAATGGATACTCAAATGTGTGCAGACTCCATTTGAAATTGAAGGATGTATTTAGTCATACGCCAGTGAATTTGGTTGTTTTTATTCCAGCATTCTTCTCTGAGCTTGTAGGAAAGCTCAAAAAGCTTACTGATATATTAAGAAGAAATGTTCTCATTTTTAACATATTGGAGATACATTTTTTATATCTGATCTCAAGTTCTTGGCTTGAACAAAAATTTATAAAACAATGAGCCCCATTTTTTTTAATTGACATATTCTTTCATCACAACTAAGAAATGTCAAATAGCTTGGCCAGTGTAGCTCAATGGATGAGCATCCGCTTATGAACCAGGATGTCGTGGTTTGATTTCTAGTTAGGCACATGACCAGGTTGTGGGCTCAATCCCCAGTTAGGAGGCATAGAGGAGGCAGCTGATCTCTCATTGATGTTTATCTCTCTCTATCCTCCTCCCTTCCTCTCTCTGAAATCAACAAAAACAATTTTTTTAATTTGGACCTAAAAACAAACTGATGTCTAAATCACTTTGAATATTTAATATCAAAACTTATTTTAATCTTCACATGATCCTTGATGTAATTCAAAGAGCTCTTAGTTTTGAAAGATACATGACTAATAGCTATCATGAAATTTACAACATTCATAAGTATTATTACTAATTTTAAAAGCTAATACTGAATTGTGATCCTATGACATCCAAAGTCAAGACTCCTTCCATCACCATTTATTCCCACTTTACTCTGGTAATCAGCATACTGTTGTCTGTGTCTATGAGATTTTTTGTAGGGTTTTCTTGTGGTGGGGGGGAAGAAAAAGGGACAAGGACTTGCTTTAGCAGGTTTCCAAGATGTCAGGAAACTGAATAAAACTTCCAGCAGAATGGTCCTCACTCATTCCCCAGATCCAGAAAAGTAGGAAAAACTGAAATGTACTTGAGGGTACTGCCCACACAAAATGAGCAGTTGTTTTGAAAAGGGCAAGTTTATACAAGAATTCCCATTTTGGAATGGGAATGGGTTACAAACATATACTACATACTTTGCTTTGTAGCCTATCACTAAGGATTCAGAGACACTTCCTCCTCCGGGGATTGTCACCACAGGAATATATACCTTAAAAATCTTTAGAAATAGGATTTATGCTCATGAACATGTCAATGTATGTGTTAACTTGCCTAAAGCGAGACGGGGAGACACCAGTGTTTTCTAAGATGATATCTGAGACTCTAACAGAATGGTTTGTAAAGGTTTGCCCCTGACAAGTCTTTGAGGTGCACCCTGTCACTGCTTTCCAGGGCCTGGCCAGAGCATGGCCAGACACTCCGTCTTGTGGTTCATCCTGCTAAGCGCCCTGATTGACAAGAGCCACTCCTGCTTCTGTGATCATTTCCCATGGAGTGAGTGGTCCAGCTGCTCCAAAACCTGCAATACTGGAACCCAAACCAGATCCAGGTGGGTGTGAGCTGTGCAGCTCTGCTGTGTGCCCTGGGAAACCCCAAGGGCAGACTTAGCCATATACAAAAGGACCACCCTAAGCAACGGGACAAAACAAGAGGTCTCAAAAGTAAGAACTCATGAACTTGGAAGGCGCTTTCGGTCTTTTCCACATAAGGTGAATGGAAGTCTACTTTTGTTCTCTCCATAATATCAAGGAGTTTCAAAGAAATTTAATTAAGAATCTGTGCAATATTTTCAGTTGACTATTTACTTAGAAACGCCACTCAAGCTTTTTATTCAGTCAGCATATAACTGCTCACCACCAGTGAGTTAATTACAGAGAATTTTCTGCTCATTAAACAGTCTAACAGGAGCTCAACTGCACAGCAGCGCTAGCTGCCACCTTGATTGTTGGCATGTACAAGAAGCAAGAAAACTGGTAGTTTTTAATAATTCACATTTAGTAATTCAGTCTTTTCACCAATTCAGACTACTTGTCCCAGTGTTGTTGTTTTTTTAATCTACTAGATGTTTCTGTTCCCTCCAGATGCTCACATGACTTGAGAAAGAAAGGCATGGGTTTAATATGCTCTAATTATGATAGCACTTTTTAGAAACTTACTTTAGAATACTCTTTTCTACATATGTATAGTGTGAGTCTCATTAAAAATAACCAATTGGCTTCCACACTAAACCATCCATCAAGTATGTAAAAACAGATTTGTTTAGAATGTTCTTCTACTGAAGAGTCCCTCAGCATTTCTCTCACTGTCCACCTGGTAACGTTAAACAGTAAATCCTGTTCTTCCCAACTGTGCTCCTCTCAAGCTCCTCCTGTACGTGCCAAGCTCCTCCACCTGTCCTCTTTGCATGACCCCTCTCTCCACATGCTCTTCCACACGCCGGGAGAATTCACATGAGCTTTCCACGATGTATCTCTCCTGTCACTTCCTCTTTGACTGATTGGCCCATACCGCTCTGATTCCACCTTGATCATTGAACTTATTACACTGAGATCTTTTAAGCGATTTTCAGGAACTTTGTCTTTTCCTTTCTTTCCCAGACTCTTCCAGGAATGCCATCAGGGCCAGCTTCATAGTGAGTGATCTAACACTTAAAAAGGACTTCATGCTTGGCTTAATGTTCTATCATCACTGTTTTAAATTCTTAATTTTTTAATAAGAGCAGTCTCCTCCACCCTTTTTTTATTCTGCCCTGGGCCCCATAAATTATATACCTGATCCTGAGTTCCATGAAGTGGTAAGAACTGTACTAATGCCGACATACCTGATTTTTCATGAAAACCTTCTTTCCTTCTATTCACTGTGGTCAATTCTCAGTGATATTTTCTTTATTGGGCTGGAGCTATTGTGAATATATGCATTCTAAGTAGGTTTTTTCCCCTCACTATTACAGACAAGTAATAATAAATGAATACTATTGGAAGAACTCCTGTGAGCAGCTTTGTACCTTCCGGGAGACCAGAGAGTGTAACTGGCAAGCTTGTCCGATCAACTGCCTGCTGGGGGATTATGGACCATGGTCAGACTGTGACCCCTGTGTCAAAAAGCAGGTGGGTGACACGTGGACATATACAGGAAATCAGAATCACAATAAAAGGACTCGGGGTCCCAAAGTCTCAACCATCGCAGAAATGCTGAATTTCTTCAAATAAACTTTCCCTCCTTCTATTGAGGAAAACATTTCATCGAGCAATTTTTAAGGGCCAGGGAGTTCATTTTACATGTTTCACTGTTGTGTGACCTCCAAAAGGAAATTCTGGCCCCAGCACCCGTGACGCAACTGCCCAGTTCTGTGCCCTCTGAGAACACAGGAAGCAAAAGCAGGCTCTAGAAAATGAGCATTTCAGTCCAAGGTTTAAAATCAGAGCGAAATCTGGAACATTAGCCAGAAGCCTGATTCCTTGCCCTTCCTCTTAATTGCTTCTCCCTATGGGAAAGTCCCTCCACTTGTTTACTGTTCCTGCTGCAATATTGACCCTCCATGAGGGTCAATGTTCCTGTAAGGACATGGCCCGTGTGGACCTGTCAGGACAGATGCTGAGCATTCGCATTAGAAGAAAAAGGGACTCAGCGCCCTCTCTGAGCTGAGCTGTTCTAGGTCCTTTCCATGCATCACCCTATTCAAACTTCACACCACATTGTGCCTTTCACCCCGAGTTACAGATGAGAAAGTTGTGGCTCTTTGGGAGCTAAGTAATTTGCTCAAGAACACATGGATATAGGAGCTGCATTCTGAACTCAAACTTTACTGACATCAAAGTCAGTACTTTTCAATGCTGTCATAATTCTGACCGCCTCTGACTCTGTTCCACTCCTCACCATTTAAAATTGTTTAAAGGGTAGCCCAACCAGGGGGGCTCAGTTGGTTGAATGCATGTCATGCTCAGGAATTTGCCAGTTTGATTTCGGAGCAGGGCATATGCCCAGGTTGCAGGCTCAATCCCTAGTAGGGGGCTTGCAGGAGGCAGCTGATTGATGTTTCTATCTTTCCCTCTCCCTTCCTCTCTCTGAAATCAATAAGACATCTATATACTTTAAACCTTTTAAAGTGTAGAGAGTGTGCCACCCTTGGTTTCCATGGTGACTTCCTTGTGCAAAAGAACCCCCAAATCCTTTCTCATTTATCACTCACATCACAATATCTGTGAGATACTGAAGGACTATTATTATTTCCCGGAAGAATCTGCACTCAGGAGACACTCAGTAAATATTTGTGCATTGAATTTCTATTTAACTTTGAATCATATGACTTTCGAGTTAGAAGTTTTAGAAACATTTTTGCCCACTTCCTCCTTTTAGGAAACAGGGCCCAGAGACTTCCTGACAGACACACAAGAATGGAATCAGAAAAATCATTAGCTAATTTGGACAGCACCACTATAACAACAATCACTACTGTGATTGAGAAGCCTAGAGTTCTGAGATACATTTTGGCTTCAACCCTGCCTCACAGTTACTTAGCCTTCTCTCCTTTTCTTCCAGTTTAAGGTTAGATCTATTTTACGCCCAAGTCAATTTGGAGGACAAAAGTGTACGGAGCCCCTCGTGAATTTTCAACCATGTATTCCAACTAAACTCTGCAAAATCGAAGAGCTTGACTGCAGGAATAAATTCCGTTGTGACAGTGGTAATGTACTTTTGGAAAATGTTCCTGCTCCACTAAAAATGACTAGCACAGAGTCATCCCAGTTGACTCCAGTAAGCGCTGTGATGGAGGAATTCCACCATATTTTAAGCATGGGGAGATGGAGGGGTTATATCGCTACCAATTACCAAGCTAGATAGACATAGATATGTCATTGCAATAACAAAAATCAGTTCAAGTACATAGAAAAAACATGTACAATTTCTAAATGACCACATGGCTTCAGGTGTGAGTGTGTATGTGTCATGTATAAGAGCTGGCTAGTTGCTAACTTCTGCAAAGTCTGCACTGTCCAAACTGCCCTTCATCTTCCCCACCCCTTCTTTTCAATATCTCTCCTCTGGTGCTTCCTACTCCATTGAGTTTCTGTGGCCTGGAACCATGTGACTTAGCTGGGTCCCACCAGAGCTATATCGCACCTGCCACTCATTCCTAAACATCACTCAATGAATGTCCTATTGCTTTCATTACTACCCTTGTTAATAGTCTTCTCCAATATCCCTAGAAGTACATATGGATAGAATTTCTTGTGTTCTAGTAAACCTGATATCCTACTCACAACTAATGAGAACTGTATCCTGCATGTGTAGCCCTATCTCAGTTTAATAAAATGGGATTTTTTTAGTGTAACCATGTCAAAAAATTAGCTTTTGCTCAAATTTGTAAGAACCAGGTTCAAAACATTAAAAATATATAATATTTGGGTGTTTTTTTTTCCTTTAGTAAAAGCGTCTCTATTTAAAACTAAATTACCTACTCTGTTCTGCCCTAAAAATAAACAAACAAATAAAAAACTAGAAATGGGCTCTTTTAAAACCAGAGAATCTGTCAGGTTATATCCTGGGGGTAATAGAAGTTCTGTTCTCTCTATATTTTCACCCTAGTATGATGCTGAGATGTGTAACCATAATTCCTTATAATGTTAGTCTAGCAGGGTTTTGAATAATCAAAGAAGGGCTTAATTACTTTCTAACATTCTGCCTTAGTGAAAGTTATTAACCAAAAGAGATGAAATGAAGTGCTTTCTGGGAAACTCTCCATTAATTAAAAAAAAAAAAAGTATTCAACAGAATACTCACTTTCCCCAAGCATTTCAGTGAATCCAAAAAGTCACACATAACAATGGTGAGATGCTGATCACAACCTAGAATAGTTAACTAGGTAACCTTGAGTAAAACAATGAATCATTGTCAGTGAGTCTGTAAGATGACAGCGCACTTGGTTATAGGTGAGAGGGTGAGGGCAGGAGAGGATCCTCATGAAATTCAGCAAGTTTGAAAGGAAAAGGAATTATTTAAGTACATGAAGCTTGTCCCATTTCCTAAACTCACTAATTTAACCTCTGCCGAATGCTATAGCACCCAGGCATTTAACTTGTCCAAAAATAATTAGATTGAGTAAATTATATCTAGTAAATCAATTATATTATGTAGTTATATATTACTACATAATAAAAATATACTAATTATGTATATTAAAATAATTACATAGTGTAAAATGCACAATTCATAAGTGTGCAATTTTATTTTGATGAGTGTATACATACATGTATACATGTACATGACCCCCAATCAAGATATCCATAAACCTGAAAAAGTTGCTGTTCTCCTCTTTCCAGTTAATTCCTATCCTTATTTTTCTTCTTTTTTTTTAGTTTTTTTTCCCCTCTCCTTATTCTTGAATATCATATGAAGGAATCATATAACATCAATCTTGTGTGTCTGGCTTTGTTTGCTCAACAAATAAAATTTTGGAGATTCAGGCATATTACCATACTGTGTGTGTGTATGTGTATGTGTGTGTGTAATTAGTTTTTAACAATAAAACAATGACCTTGAGTCTGCTATCCTGTGTCAGAACAAAATTCTAAACCTACAATTCATTTTCTGCTACAGAACAGGATTTCTGTAGAAAGCTTACTGAAATGGAATGGGATTCTAGATTTCATTCTCTTATTTAAGCCAATCAGCCCCATGGTGACTAAATAATCTATAGTGAGTCTTTTAATCCTAAAAAGAAATGGGAGAAAATATAAGTTTATCATTCCATTCCCATATGTTCCTAAATCTTTATTAAAAAATAATGAAAACTTAATTGGATACTAGACTTATTGGGCGATCACTTAGTGAATCATATAAATGTGTAACCACTATGCTATATACCTAAAACTAAAATAATATTAAATATCACTGTAATTGATTTTTTTTTAATTTAAAAGAGTAAAACATGATCTTGGATGAGTCATTGTTAGGAAACCTGCTGTTAACTTTTTCTTAAGATTTAAATCACTAGCGTTTCAAATTAAAAATTCCATAAATAATCTTTGCGGTCAATGTTGTTTGCTTTCCTTGATAGGTCGTTGTATTGCCAGAAAATTAGAATGCAATGGAGAAAATGACTGTGGAGACAACTCAGATGAAAGGGATTGTGGGAGAAAAAAACCTGTATGCCCACGGAAGTACAACCCCATCCCTAATGTAAAAAGGATGAGCACTGGGTATGTAGCATCTTTTTATCATTTGGGGGAATAGCAGCATCTCAGAACTGAGTTGGAAGCAGCAATGAAGCAATGATACACCTTGTCTGCCTCCTCATTCACCTCTTTCTACTCTTACCAGCCCTGCCTCTGGCACTTGGCAACTATACTTGGACACATGTGGCCATAATCCTCACTCCTAGGGAATGAAATTATTTAGCATTTTCACATTTACCTTGTACCAGGCATTGTTATGGGCCCTTCACACTTGTTTGTTTTCATTCTCATACATCCTTTCGACAGTTCTGGAGCAGATCCGGGCAAACTGGTGGGAGGCCAACCAAGCCAGGCGGTGCCTGAGTGGATTTTGGGGGCTAAGTCTTGAGTGAGTGAGTAACCACTAAGAAATGCCAGGAACAAATGGAGAATGAGGGTATCAGAACAGTATGCCTATGACTGTGTTGAAAGGCAGAATACTAAAGAATTAAAACCAGTTTCAAGGGGTATAATCAAGCCCTGAGTCAATAATAATAGACCAAATCGGAGGCAAGGGCTTACCCAAACGTAGGGAAAAGGGGTGATAAAGACAGTGGCGGGGAAAAGTTAAGAGAGTTAGAGGTTAAATGAGCATGGCTAAGGTGTCCAAAACTTTTCTCACATAAACTATATGATGTATGGGAAGGCCAGTACAGTTTAAAGGCCAAAGGTCAGACCTGCATTAACAGTGGTTCGTGTTCAAGTAATGAGATCATTGGAGGTTTGGCAAGGGATTGATTCTAAATTCATTACACTGAGCCAATGACTTAGAAAACTTTAGAAAATGTAAGTGAAGTCAGTGGAAAGAGAAGAACTGAGCCTTAATTGGAAGTGTAAGAAAAGTCAATATACTCCTGATTGGTTTGGCTCAGTGGATAGAGCCTCGGCCTGCGGACTGAAAGGTCCCAGGTTCGATTACAGTCAAGGGCATTTACCTTGGTTGCAGACACATCCCCAGTGGGAGGTGTGCAGGAGGCAGCTGATCGGTGTTTCTCTCTCATGGATGTTTCTAATTCTCTACTCCTCTCTCTTCCTCTCTGTAAAAAAAAATCAATGAAATACACACACACACACACACACACACACACATATTATATTATATATATATATAATTTTATTTATTTATTTTTAAAGAAAACTCAGTACAGATAATCTCCTATTCCCATAATAAAGAAATCTCCCTTCAATTTTTTGGCCAGAAGGCAAATAGTTTGCTATAGACTTTTATTGCTTTGTATTGGACTTTTTTTTTTTTTTTAAGTTTTCACTTACACTGCCAGACTTACATAATATGAAGCCTTGAGGCATCAAAGACAAACAGCAGCCACGGCAAACACCACCTCATTTGATTACAATGGATACCAGAAGCTATTGAGCCAGACTCAAGGACAGCAGTGAAATGGAACCGCCGTAAGCTGGGAAGTCAGGGAGCCAGGTGCAGGGCCGCGTTCTGCATTAACTCGCTCCACCAGAGCCAAGTCATTGAACTTCCCTCGGCGGCAGTTTCCTCACTGGTGTGTCCAATGACTGCAGGCGTTTCCGAGGTTCTGTCCTAAGAATTTCTAACTTGAGTTGATTTCAATGAGAGCGTTTCAACAGCATCTTCTTTATCAATGTGTAGAAATGGTTTCCTTTTTATTTTTCCTCTCCCTGGGAGAAAAACCTCAGCCAGAACTCCCACTTAGCAATCATGTTTGCTAATGTTCTGATTGATGAAGGGTGATGTTCCAGTCTCTTCCCTGGCTCAGTTGGTCTTGATCTAGAGTGCAGATGGGGAGGACCACACGCTCTGTGTACTTTGACAGAAGGCCTCTGTGGCTGCCGCCAAGCGCAGCTGCTGTCCTAAGGATTCTCAGAAATGAGCAAAACCTGCTGGCTTAGGACAGCCAGTCCTCTCCCACTCCCCAAGAATGAGAGTTTTGAGAGCTGTTTATTGGAATCTTTTTCTGCTGAGAATCTCTGCCTCCTCTCTCACACATTTCTCCCCACAAACGCTTCCTGGATGCCTGTACCTCTTTTCAAATGGCATCTCCCCAAGGAAGAATTTAGCAAGACAGAACAACATTCTTTCATTGTTAACATCAGTCATCGGGTCTTAAACCTGAAACAAGAATCAGGCAGTATTATCATGCTGTTTATTTTTTTCACAGGTTCAGCCAAGGCACAAATGTGCATGCGCGCACACATACACATACACACACACACCCCACACACACACATGCATGTACAAGCATGTATACATAATTTAAAAATATTAAAAGTTACAAAATATGACACACTAATCCAAATAAGATAAAATTCCTTTAAAGACCTACAATATAAAAAACCATGATATATTTGAAAGACCGGAATAGTTAAAGTCAATTTAAATACCACAGAGGGGAGGAGAAAGGATAGGGCTGAAAATGGCTGCCCAGTTGACTTAACTCATAAAAGGTTCCTCAAGCCTGAGAGAGCCACCTCCAAGGAAGTCCTATCTTCATGCTCTCAGCAAGCAGCTGCCCTCTTCAGAGCTTCCTCGTGACGTAGGAGCCACTTTTGTTAGACCTTTGTTTGAGACAAACTTACAAGTACATGGCATAAGGCAGTGTAAGGTGAGCAGTTCCTTCTTCCTCCTTGATCCCTCTTCAGTCAGAAAACAAAAACGAATGAGTCTGAAACATGCTAACTTGAGTAGTTTGGCAATTTCTTTGTCATGCTAACTTGAGTAGTTTGGAAATTTCTTCCCAGACCAGCTCCTCATACTTTCTCCCCTAAGTACCCATTTTGATAGAACTTCAAATATGAGTGAGGACACACCTCAAACTGTGCTCACAGCTATTGGGGTATGAGAAGCCATAGGAACCACTTCCTTTTTTTTTTTTTTTTTTAGCAACTTCAGTGAGCTTTCATTCATGTACCAGCCCTCCCCCTGTTTACCTGCTTTACTCTCACACCCCTACCACATTCACACTTCTGACACCAGATGTGTGGGCGCTCACCCCCATGAACCAATTCTCTGAAATAAATCGTACAATTTATTTCAATTATGATGCTATCTACCTGGATTTAGTGCCGATGCCACAGGTGAAGGACTCAGTCCCACAAGACTGGCCCCCTCTTCCCATGCCACTTTACCCATGCTTCTGATACATTGAAGGTTTCCACTGACCCACTCCTTGGGTTTGATTAATTTGCTGGATGGACTGGCAGAACCCAGGAAAACAATCTACTTCCTGTTTACCAGCTCATTATAAGCTCACATCTAAAAAGATGCAGATGAATGGCCAGTTGGGAGGCAAGGTGTGTGGGAAGGGGCTCTGAGCTCTCATGCATGACTGGGTGCACCACTCTACCTGCACCTCCATCTATTCACCAAAACGGGAGCTCTCTAAACCCTATCCTTTGGGGAGTTTTTGTGGGGAAGCTCCATCATGTAGGCATGTTTAATTCCTAACTCCATTCCCAGCCTCTCTCCTCTCTCTGGAGAATGAAAGGCGAAGTTAAAACTTCTAAGTTTCCAATAAAGGTTTGATTTTTTTTTTTTAAATTACCGGTTCCCATCCAGGTGCCCACCAAGAGTTAGAAAAAAAGACACTGCACGAATAGATACTAGAGTTGTTGGGATGATCACTTTGTAAGTTTTATAAGTGCCTAATCTCTATGTTGTATGCCTGAAACTAAGATAATATTGTATGTCGACTGTAATCGAAACATAAATATTGAAACAAGAAAAAAGTCAAAAAACACCGCTATCACCCAGGAAATGCCAAGGGATTTAGGAGCCCCAAGTCTTAATCAGGGATCAAAGACTAAATACGAGAACAAAAGTAGTGCTCTTATCGCTTGGGGATTACAGGATTTTAGGAGTCCTGTGCCAGGAACCAGGGACAAAGACCATTATATATACTTTCTATTATTTCACCATATGTAATCCATCAAGACGAAACTTTTTGACACAAAACTTCTTTTCCCACAGAACATAAATTAATATCTATAAGAATTTGGAAAACTATTAGCACCTTGGAGGACTTTTTCATCTCTCAGAAAACAATTTCTTAAATACTTGATTTGTGCTAAACTAACTAATCTCTATGTTTCAATTTCCTCATTTGTAAAATGGTTATAATAATTATATCTACATCGCATGGTTATCATAAATATTAACTAAATACAACATTAAATATAGATCAAACAGTGCTTGACTTATAGTACATAATATGTAAGCGTTTGTTAAATAAATTTTAAATATTATTATTGCTTGATAAAACAATGTTACTAGAATTCTATTAAAATATTGCTATTACTATGTTAGCATTTAACTCTCTATAAGAATTCCTTTACTGTATCCTTCTGAAAGAATTGGGCACAGACTGGCATTAGTTATATAATAATTTATCTCATACTTGGCTTCCAAAATTTGTGCTGGTTTCCTAAGTCTTGAAATAACTATCAACCTGAATTTTATTTCATGTTGAAAGTCTAAAACAACTATGTGAGTGGAATAAGGAAACCCTGACAGAATCCGAGGGCTGAGTCTTTCTTGGTTTCTAGCCCTTTCCAGATGTTTCACCACAGGCTAGAAAAAAATGTGCTTTCCTCCAAGTCATTTGTCATGAGTCAAAAATGTCCACGAGAGGAATTTCTTTCATATAAGTAAGGTAAATTTTCAAGATTGCTCTGCAGCTATTGAATTCTTGAAAACTACTTTATTTCTAGGTTTAATTTTCTGGCAGGAGAGCCCCGTGGAGAAGTCCTCGATAACTCTTTCACTGGAGGAATATGTAAAACTGTCAAAAGCATTAAAGCAAGTAATCCTTACCGGGTCCCAGCCAATCTGGAAGATGTCAACTTTGAGGTATGACAGCCTATCACAGTGGCAGGCCAGTGCCAATGGTGATTTAAACTGAATTCCCGGTGAAAGATTAGTGATGAAGGAAGGAACTAATAAAAAGGTAATGAATATTTTTAATGACCTGGTAGGTGTTAGTTTTAATCCTTCCTCAATCCAGTAAGGTCAGTGTTATTATCATCAATTTACAGATTTAAAAAAACAAACAAACAAACAAAAAAACCTACAGTAATTAATTTGCCCAAAGTCAAAGCTAGTAAGTAGCAGATTAGAGATTTGATTCCAGGTTTCCCAAACTCCAGAGTTCATGCTGTCCCCAGCGAACATACAGCTGTAACATATCCCCACACAGAAAAATGGTGATTTATTCAGAATTTTCTCTTCCGTAGTTCTCTCCCTCAAGTAACTACAAAATTTAGACATAAAAGAGTGACTGCCTCCTAAAAAAATCAAATAAACCTAAGTATAATAGAGTAATAGAGGTAGATCTGCCCCTTTTCCTATTTTTTTTTCCTTTTTAAAAAAATATATTTTATTGATTTTTTACAGAGAGGAAGGGAGAGAGATAGAGAGCTAGAAACGTCGATGAGAGAGAAAAATCGACCAGCTGCCTCTTGCACACCCCCTACCGGGGATGTGCCCACAGCCAATGTACATGCCCTTGACTGGAATCGAACCTGGGACCTTTCAGTCCACAGACCGACACTCCACCACTGAGCCAAACCAGCTTCGGCTGCCCCTTTTCTTTCTATGTGATGGTTGATTTGGTTTTCTGTGTGTTTCCCTAAGTGGTAATGAACATCATACTACATACTCCCAGAATCTGGCCCAGCACCTTACACACGATAAGTGTTCCATACTTGTTAAACAAAATAATCTATTTCTTTTCATTTATGATAAGAGAAACAGAAAATACATTATTTTAATGGTAACCTTCACTTTCTTGGAGTTGTGCAGCAAGTAAAAGGCAGAGCAAATTAGAATCCTGGCTCCTGCTTCAGTGCTGCCTAGACTAGATGAGACCTTGATGGTTATATAAAGAAAGACTTTAACAGCCTGGCCAGTGTTGCTCAGTGGTTAAGTGTCAACCTAGGAACCAAAAGGTTGTGGTTCAATTCCTGGTCAGAGCTCCATCCCCAGTAGGGGGCATGCAAGAGGCAGCCTATTAATGATTCTCTCATCATTAATGTTTCTCCCTCTCCCTCTTCCTTCCTTTCTCTGAAATCAATAAAATCAGATTTAAAAATAAACAAGAATTTAGTTAACATCTTTTCCTGGGGAAATGTAGAAAACTGAAGTTTATCAGAGCTCACCAGCTGTTCCTCACATACCACTAAAAGAACACACCTTCCTCCTTCCAAAAGTTGCCTTGGCTTTCTCCATTCCCTTCTGTTCCCCTTCCCAGAACAGCATTCCTGTTCTCCCCCACCCTCCCTTCTGCTTGGTCAACAATTTCTGTTGATTTACATCCTAAATATCTTTTCAATCCACCAGTTTCCCTCTACCCAACCACCACTCCCCTAGACCTGGCCATTAACCTGTCCCACTTGGCTTATTACAATAGTTTGTGTGTGTTTTTTTTAATATATTTTACTGATTTTTTACAGAGAGGAAGAGAGAGAAATAGGGACAGAAAGCTAGAAACATCGATGAGAGAGAAACATCGACCAGCTGCCTCCTGCACATCCCCTATTGGGGATGTGCCCGCAACCAATGTACATGCCCTTGACCGGAATCAAACCCGGGACCCTTTAGTCCATAGACCGATGCTCTATCCACTGAGCCAAACCGGTTTGGGCTTATTACAGTCATTTTTAAACCACTCTCCTTGTCTCACTTTGGTTAATTACAGTTCATATGATCTTGCAAAACACAAATGTGATGGTAACACTCCCAATTTTTCATTCATTTGGTTAATAATTTTAAAGATGTGATATGCAAAATCTTGCCTTTAGAACCAATCCCAGTATTTTAGCAGGGCCTGCAGAATCTGGCTGTTTCCCAGTTCCATCTAATTTTTTCAGCACTGCTTGTCTGTGAGCCTACCCTCCCACCAAGCTAATGAATGTGGCCAGATTTTCTCTGAAATTCTGCCAGGATACCCACGCCCCCTTCCTTACCTGACAATATCTTTTTATTTAAGCTGACACATCTTTTCTTGTGTGAGAGCTAGTTCATGAAATAAAATATTTGTGATCTAAGTTTTTTAGAGGAATGGTGCAGAAATGTCAGCAACTATAGTTAAATATGATTGCATTGCTTCAGCGTTAAGAGCATTCTTCCTGGACATTTTATTTTTCAATATATTTTATTGATTTTTTACAGAGAGGAAGGGAAAAGAATAAAGAGTCAGAAACATCGATGAGAGAGAAACATTGATCAGCTGTCTCCTGCACACCCCCTTTTGGAGATATGCCCACAACCAAGGTACATGCCCTTGACTGGAATCAAACCTAGGACCCTTTAGTCCGCAGGCCAACACTCTATCCACTGAGCCAAAACAGTTAGGGCTATTCCTGGACATTTTAAATGCTAAATGGTGTGCAATGCAATATCTGAAAGTAACATTGAACTTTGACTATATTTTACTATTGAGCAAAACCTTTTTGCAGCAGAATTATTTTATCTTTGCTTGACTAATTGTGCAAGCTATTTAATTGTGACATATGGTTTGCCTCACAGTGTATTTGAATACTGAATATTTTAAAAGAAGAATAAATTTTTCCATTGCAAACCGGACAAGCATCTTTCACATAAACAAGTACTCTTCTTTGTTTTGCAATCTTTTTTTTTTTTAATTGTCTATTATTCTCTTCTTACTGGTATAATCATGGCAAGTATATAACTATTTTTAAAATCACGTCCATAGAGATTAATTAACCAAAGGACTTGTATGCATGCATATAAGCTTAACCCATGGACAGGGACAGTTGGGGGTGAGAGCATGTGTTGTGGGGTGGGAGCAGCTGGGGAAAGGACAGTGGGGGGAGGGGAGGGAGGAAACATATGTAATACTTTAAACAATAAATAAATAAATAAATAAATAAATAAATAAATAAATAAAGTCAGCTCCACTAGCTTTTTCCCTTCTTCTGAGACCAAGCTAGTGAAGACTGATAACCACCCATCAGGCAGAACCAATTGATCATTTGTCCTCTGTCCTGCAGACATAGCCAGTAGAGTGCTGATGCCTGACACTGAATAAAGCTAAAAGGAATGGGGATGATTCCAAAGCATGATCACCCAGGACCTGCCCTCTCTTTTTCTAGGCCTTAGTATTCTGAAAGATATCTGAAATTAGATTGCAAACTACACCAAATGCACAGGCAGAATGAAAATAGCCCCCGTTGCTTATTAGCCCATTACATCTCAGTTTGAGAGTCATTTCCGTAAGCTGGACTTTCCTGGTGTTATCTCTCTGGATTTTATAGTTATTTGTGACAATGCTTCATATAATATATTGAATTAAGTATTTGTGATGGTCTTTCTCCCTAAGTAAACTAACAACTCCCTGCAGGCAGAAGCTAATATTTTCCACGTTCTCTAACAAAATGAGTCCTCAATAAAGATTCCTTGAATGCATAAATGAATGATCATTGCATTAGATCTTTACAAGTAGCTCCAGCAATTCTTTAATTCTGTTATATATCATATGGACTTTTTTCCAGGTGGAAATTAAAGAAAATGATTTGAAAACAGAGTTCTATAATGATTTAACACCTATTAGAAAGAACAAAGATCAAAAAACCTCATCTTTGAATAAACAGGGGAGCGATTTTCATGTGCCAATTTTTTATTCCTCAACGAAACATCAGTCCTCTACCCAAAATTCTGCTTTCAAGGAAGCCATTCAAGCTTCCCACAAAAAGGTAAAAAAAAGGTTCCTGGTCTTTTTGTTCTTTCCCGAAAATTAATGCCAAATCCAGCAATCATGCGACAAGAAGGGGTGAGTTTTATCCAATCAGTAGAATGTCTAATTCATATTCAAATAGCTTTAGTGTTTTTTCATGGTTGTTTTATCCCCTTTAAAATTTATAGAGGCCATATATCTAATGATGCTTTCTTTTTGCATGTGTTTGGCTATATTTATGGTTGTATTCTTCGTCTTACTGGTTTAAGTGTATATTTCTTTCAAACCACATGTCACAGAACTTTGCTTTTTGTTTTGTTTTGTGTTTTTTAAATATATTTTATTGCTTTTTTTTTTTTTTTTTTACAGAGAGAAGGGAGAGGGATAAAGAGCTAGAAACATCGATGAGGGAGGAACATTGACCAGTTGCCTTTTGCACACTCCCTACCAGGGATGTGCCCGCAACCAATGTACATGCCCTTGACCGGAATCGAACCTGGGACTTTTCAGTCCTTGGGCCAACGCTCTATCCACTGAGCCAAACCATTTTCAGCAGAACTTTGCTTTTTGAATGTAATCCGGTGGTCTCGGGCTTTTGCTAGGGAAACTCAGTCAACTTACATTTAGTGTTCTCACCAGGATACGTGCTCACTTTCCTCCCATTTTTAATTTTTCTTATTTGTTTCTGTTGGCTGCTCTTTCCTGTTTCCTCTGCCATCTTTGTCACAATTGCACTTATAGTCAGTTTCAAAGTCATAATGCTGTTCACAATGAGTTTTCTCAGCAAGAGTTAGTGCTTTTCCAATTTGCTTCACAAATAAGACCTCATCAAATATTGAACTAGATTGAATGTGGTTAATAACTCAATGTCCCGTCGTCTTTTGACCGATGACAGCCAATTCAAGCCACCAGGACACGAATGCACTGACAGGTGGAGTGCCCTGAAGGTGCTCATGCTTAGCTGAATTACCAGCTTCACTTGTATTTCCCATGATTTAGTTCTTAAAGCTGCCTGGGAAGTTTGAACCATTCCTTTCAATGCCCACATCTCAACAGGCATTTCAGATCTCGGGGGAGTGAGTACACTCCTTAGTTCAAGCACAATGCCCCTCCTACTTTCAAAAGCCAGGTTCTATGACAAAAATCAGGTTTTTAACTTAAAAATAGAATTAATGCACCTACAAAATGGAAGCTCCACAAAGACAGGACCTTGGCCTTGCTCACTTCCATGGTCTTAGCGCCAGAGGCAAGAAAGTAGAAAGGGGGAGGAAAAGGGAAAGGAAGTAGGAAATGGGGTGATGACTCCTTTTCAATCCTTGGGATTATTGCTTTTCTTTTGTGTTAGCAGTCATTGTGTGCCATAATTATAGCACACAGGAAGATAGTGGTTTAATAATTTGCAGTTATTATGAAGTTCTTTTGCTAGAATATACTCTTTTTTCTGTGTTTTGTTTTGTTTTGTCTTGTTTTTTTTTTTTGTTTTTTTTTTTTGCTCAAACACTACAATTTGGTAAAAGTAGGAAATTAGATAAGGTGCATAAAAATGTTTAAAAAGAGCAGTTACATGGATACACTTATAAAACTCAGTGGCTGTGTAGAAGAACAGTGTAATGGAATGAGGTTTGGGGCATAATAACTAACCACCTACTTCTAAACCAACCCAACATAACAAGAAATGATTCTTTTTTTAAAAAACCTTCAAACAAATTTTCTTGCTTATGAGTGGAGGAGAGAGAATATAGATAATCTGGGTTAATCTTGCCTCTTAGTGATTTGGAATCAGAGCATTTGGGTTCATGTTATCCTGAAGGATGTGAAAAGTCATAGGACGCAGTCCTAATCTGTGCACCAGAAGACATTTCATGGATAACTGAGGCATGGAGACTTTAAAAGCTTTTTCCCAGTTAGTGACAAAGCTGGGATTTGAGTCTCAGTTGCATAACTTGAAATTGAAAATTCGTTGCATAATCCTTTTTCAATTATTTGCACTGGCAAGGCTCTCTAAATAAAAACTCAGTAGGGATGCAGCCATGATTGATGATCAAGAGAAAAAGATTTGCTTTTCTGAGAATTGATCTCTCTCTGGTAGGGAACATAAGCCTCAGTCACATGGTGTACATCATTGAGATCATCTCTTTTAGCACTTTCAACATCTCAGGAAAAGGAACTGGATCATCAAGTGACAATTATAATTGTGTGTGTGAGAACATGCAATAGCGAGTTAAAATTGTTGTGATAACTAGATTGAAATGAAGCAAATGATAAATAGATGACAGTTAAGTGCTTGATACCTAAAGATAAGCTTTCATTATGTTTAATCATCTTTCCTTTTCATTCTTCTCTCCTCTTCCATTTAGGATTCCAGTTTTATTAGGATCCATATGGTCATAAAAGTCTTAAACTTCACAATGAAAAGTAACGACCTGCAGCTGTCAAATGTGTTTTTAGAAGCCCTTAACCAACTGCCTCTGGACTACAACTACGCTCTGTACAGCCGGATATTTGAGAACTTTGGGACTCACTACTTCACCTCTGGCTCCCTGGGAGGCGTGTATGACCTCCTCTACCAGTACAGCCGGGAGGAACTGAAGAACTCAGGTATGCTTACCTCGGCCGCCCTTTTCATTAGCTGATCTGATCACAGGTGATGTCTTTTTCTCTTATTGTATTATTTTAAATCTTTTCTATTAACCTTAATTAGACTCTCCTTTATTTTCTAAATGATATGAAGAACAACCAAAAGTACAAAGTCAAGGAAATAAAACAAAACCAGTAAATTAGGACCAATAAAAAAGGAAAAATAAATATGTGTAACATCTTTGATGGGGCATCAGATTTGTCTCTGAATTTTCTGGCATTTAGGAAGATCATAAGCAACTCAGTAGCAGTGACCTAAAGAGTATGCCCTTTCCTCAAAGTCAACAAGATTTGTCCTGGAACTAAATCCTAAAGAATCATTGACTTACAGAATTTTAATAGGTGATAATAATTTTGTAGATTCCAAAACCAGTTTGGCTCAGTGGATAGAGTGTCTGCCTGCAGACTAAAAAGTCCCAGGTTCAATTCCGGTTAAGGTCATGTATCTTAGTTGCAGGCACATCCCCAGTAGGGGGTGTGCAAGAGGCAGCTGATTGATGATTCTCTCTCATTGATGTTTCTAACTCTCTATCCCTCTCTCTTCCTCTCTGTAAAAAATCAATAAAATATATTTTAATAATAATAATAATAATAATAATAATGTTATAGATGAACTAGAGACCCAGTGCATGGATTTATGCACTAGTTGGGTCCCTTGAACTGGCCTGCAGACATCCCCTGAAGGGTCGCAGATTGCAAGAGGGTGCAGGCAAGCCAAGGGCTCACTGGTGCACAATCGAGTTCAAGGAGGTACTGTGGGAGGTTGGCAGGCTGAGGATGGTCCGCTGGAGGGCTTCAGGGCATGTCCAGCCCAAACTAACCCACTGGTCAGAGCAGCTGCCCCCTGGTGGTCAGTACACATCATAGCTACTGGTCGAATGGTCACTTAGGCTTTTATATATATAGAAAATTTCTATAAATAAATAAAAATTCACTACCAGCCATGGTGTTTTCTTGCCTACCGATAGAATAATAGTATACACCCTCACCTATAAATAAATCTTGGTTTCTTAAGTATGATCTTAAATTGAAAATATTAATTGTTAGTACAACTTAAGCACCTTTGAAATAATTTGTTTTCAGATCCTTGTAGTAAATGGCACAGGGTCCTGTGATGAATCTACCATGTGTATTCTTATGTTCAGTGTTCTTAAACATAATATATATTCTTATGTTCAATTAGTATAGATATTTATTTCTCTAAGTCACAATAACACTATTGGTGCACAATTTTAATTGTGGTTAAGTTGAAGCACACCAAGACAGAAACAAAATTTAATGAAATGGAATTCTCTATGGGTTGTGCTTACCTGTTTTTGCCCACTTCTCTAGATGAATATCTATTCTGGCATCTTCCCTTTTATCTCTTTCTATTTGTTCTCCCTTGAGTTAGCCATGACATGATACTTGAGTGCAGGCTTAGTTTTTGTTTGCTTTATTTAATAAGAATCATAACCCTTGTCATTCATTTCAAAACACCACGACTTGAATATTTCATAGCACTTTGTCTCTCTCAGGAAAAATAAACAAAATTCAATTGCTTTCTAGTTGCATCCTTTGATTTATTCCCCTATTGTTCAGGGTCCCCTAGTCAACTTAAAACCTTGAATAAAAGTTGACATTGCTTCAGTGTGCAAGGTGAAAAGAATTTCAAAAATTCTGTGAAACATTAAACAATTAAAATATCATAATATGCAAGATGGTAATTTTCAACTCCTTTTGATAAGAAATCATTTTCTGCTTTTAATTTGACCAGGAAAATTAACTGCCTCACTACTTATCAGTATGACATTTTCAACTAGCACCATTGGCCTTTGGCCAGTCAAAGTAGCTGAGGACATTTCTAAAATACTCATCCCCACACCCCAGCAGAGGGACACTGGGGTATGAGGAGCCAAGTGCTACAGCATCAAGTTGTCTCTTGGACATTGTGGGTAAAGGCCAGGCAGCAAGCTTTAGGATCTGCTACAGAGAAGAAAAGGCTGATACAGAAATTCACTGATGAAACTTTGATGTTTTAATCACCGTATGGCCAACAACATGGCTCATACGAGGGATTCTTCATTCAAATCTTCAAGGATTCTCCTCTAACCCTCAGAAAATTGATTTAACTAAGCTTATGGTTAATTAATTTTGTTATCATTAATGAATTGTACACATAACATGTAATTTTAACTTACAAATAATCAAGACCTAACAAAAGAATAAGGAAAGATGGGAGTTGTTGCTATAGGGGCATTAAATTCCTAATGTGGCCTAACCATTTGACTCACCCACTTATAGGAAAAATACTGTCAGGAGAAAAGTGACTTATGTTTAGTCAGCTCGATCAAAAGCAGTCTTTTCTTTCTAAAGTTAAGGATATAAGGTAAGTATGGGGACTTCAAACCAAGAACTTCTTACAACTTTTAACACATCTCTTCCAATGTGACAAACTATTGAGAAAACTATGAGGTGGGCACTCCCCAAGCTCCTCCACTCCGCCTCCTTTCTCAGTGATCTCTGCCTTCAGGTTTCAGATTAGCATCTCACCAAACTGTGCCTCAAGCTCTAAACACACTTGTTCCTGCCTATGGTGACCTGCAACCCTAAATACCAGTATTTGGCTTTAAGGTGCTTTAGGGATGATATTAACAGCTCTATCCCTCATGTGCTTGTGTTTTGCAAGGCAATGTTTTACTAAACATCAAAAAGCCTGGACTCTAAAATTGATGTTTCGGGTAGCAGGTCAGGTGGTGTGGGAAGCAGTTAACAAAAAGGAAACATGGATTTTCCTCAAATGACCCCAGGTAGGAAGTACCACCTAAGTGTACAAATGGCAAGATCTGTTTCCCTGCACTGTGCCCCAGTCAACCCCTGACATCCATATATATGGTGAAGACATTGAGCATAATGGCGAGCATTGTGGTGGCAAAGAGTGATTCAGGTAACACAATCTTCAGTGAATGATGCTCAGAAGTTTAGTGAAAGACAAGGACCAGGAGGACTAAGGGTATTAGACCTGGGTGGCCTCAGCCTCAGAGACCGGAATTTTTAATAAGATATAGACAACTGTGGGGGGGGGGCATCCGTGGAAGCAGTAGTGGGGAGTGAGGAAGATGTGGTCAACCCCAGCTCCCACAGCTGAAGGGGCTGGGAATGGGGCAGTACCAACCTCCCTTAGAGACAGCGAGAAACATATCCAATGCAGGCTTAAGTTCAGACGAGGAGAACAAGAGAATAGTCAGGGAGGACATTGACAAGAGTTCCTAGGTCAGAAGTCAGAGTTTCTGAGAGCAAACAGAAAGGTTTTGGAGGTGGAGATGGAACGAGCAGCCAAGTCAGGGAGAGGACGCACAGGTGAGTATGAGAACGGGCATCCAGGAAAGGAGAGATGACCAACAGGATTCACATTTTTTATGATGAACAAGGAAAAGTAAAGTGGACAGAGGTTTCACAGAGTTAGTTGTGGCCCCACAAAATCTGACAGCGGGGCACAACACAGTGTGTGTCTGTCTTCTGATGTGCAGGGCTCCACAGTGGCAGTGACCAGTAGGATGGACAAGCTTAGGTTCATTCTATGAAAGCAACAGAGAGAGGCCAACATGGTCCCCTGGGCTGGGCCACGATGACCCCATCTTGTGCCAGTGTGAAAGGGAGAGGTAGCAGGGACTCATAAATACCTCTTCTGTTCAGGCTCCTCTGTCTGTGAAGGACTGAATCTGTAGGCAAGAACTGTCATTCATTCCCACTCACGCGAAGTACTAGTAGAGATAATGGCGGCTGATGCAGAGCCTCATGCCCTTCTCTGGATTCTCAGGAGGTTGTGTTTGTGCGCCATTTCCTAGGCTTAACGGAGTCAGAAGCTCAAAACTGTATCCGGATTGAAACAAAGAAACGCGTTCTCTTCTTTAAGAAAACGTCAGTGGAACACCGGTGCACCACCAACAAGATGGCAGAGAAATATGAAGGTGACAGCCCCCTCCCTTTGCTGCCCAGGGCACCCCGTGGTGGACAGTAACGAGGACCGTGTTGCCCAGGACTGTGGGGTTTTTCACTTTGCACTTATTTCAGTCCTCTACCCCAGAGCCCTGTGTGTGGTGCAAATACAGTATCATTAAGCAACACTTACAGGGGGAAATGGCTAAGGTTTTCTTTATCTTATACTTAAGTTGTTTAATTTAATTAATGTTGGAGAGCAGAAGCCAGGCGTCTATAGCATACCCGGGGCCATACATATACTAATACGTATCAAAAGCGGGGGGTTGGCATCAGAGAGAGCCGGGAGCAGAGTCAGGATTTGGCTGCATTTGCATCCCAGCCTCCCAGTCCTCCCTAGTGACCACAGTTTGGGGGCCAATTCACTTATAGCTTTATTGTCCAGGTTTACAACAGCACTTGTTTCTCAGGATGGTGAGAGCTGCACGAGATGAAGCGTGCAGCTGATTATGTACAAGCTGTACTACCCGGCAGCTGTTGGCACTATTGGCACCGCTACTCATGGACTGCCTGTGGGGCTGAGGAGGGTGCTCTCTTGCTCCTCACCTAGCTTACTTAATGCCTCTACCATCCACTCCTGTGCAAGCGGGCTCTTCTTTAAAGCTTTGATTTGCAATGAAATTAAACGGGCGGTTGTTTTTAAAACACCCTTGCAGGCTCGATGATGCAGGGAGCGGAGAAGGCCATCTCCTTGGTCCAAGGCGGGAGGAGTGAGTTCGCCGCGCCTCTGGTGTGGGAGAAGGGGACCTCGGGTCCAGACAAGAACGTCTTTTCTCAGTGGGTGGAATCGCTGAAGGATAATCCTGTTGTGGTGGACTTTAAGGTAAGAATGAAAAGCGTGCTGGGCGAGAGAGCTAAAGGACTTCTCTGGCAGCCCAAAGGAATTGCCAATCAACGCCTTTCCATTTTGCTTCAAGATGATCAAGGAAATGTCTTTCTTTAGTGTGCGGGCACAGTGGGCCTCGTTTTCAATGTTGAAGTACACGCCTATTGCTTTGCTGTTCAAGCAGGCATTCTCTAACACAGAGTTAGAATGTGCAGCATACGTGGAAATATCAGGAAATGGGATTTAGTGAATAAAACTGCTCAAACTTGCCTTGAGTAGAATATTCTTCATCTCTCCAAGGCGTGTAAAGAATTTGGTCTCTGTGATTGCTTGCAACTTTTATTTGGTGAGTTCTCCTAAGCCTTCATGGATAGCTCCAGGGATAAGTGGGATTTTTATGTGCATGTGGCTCTCTGGTTCTATGAACTTTGATTACATGTACCAGCCTTATATTTGTTGTCATTACATAAGAAGGTGATTTTTATTATTATTCAAGAAGCACTTTGCTCACATATCAGTCCTACTGCATTTGGAACCAGTGTTTGCCTCAAACAGAAGCACATTTTTATTTATTTATTTTTATTTATTAAGGTGTTACATATGTATCCTCATTTCCCCATTAACCCCCATTCTCCTCCCCCATTCATGCCCTTACCCCCCTGTTGTCTGTGTCCATTGGTTAGGTTTATATGCATGCATACAAGTCCTTGGGTTGATTTCTCTCCCTTACCCCCATCCTCCACTACCTTCCCTGAGGTTCTGATCTATGTTACTCTGTCTCTGGATCTGTTTTTGTTTATCAGTTTACATTGTTCATTATATTCCACAAATGAGTGAGATCATGTGATATTTATATTTCTCTGCCTGGCTTATTTCACTTAGCATAATGCTCCTTAAGCACATTTTTAAATGCCTGCGAACAGGCTGTCCTGCTCATTGAAGGCAGGAGTGCAGTCATGGTGAACGTAGATTAAGGCACATGCAGCCTGCGATGCAGCGAGCTCTCCAGGGGGTGGCAGGAAAGTGAGATATGGCCGCCCGCCTGGCACCTGTGAGTCACCGATGGCACTAGATAATCATTCCTTTGGGGGTTTAAAATATTAACAAAATGAGCCCTGGTTTTGTGTAAGCCCCATCATTTCTTGCTGCAATTCCTTACTCATCTTGCCAGTGAGTTCATCCCTCCGTTTTCTCCTATCCTACCCTTTCTCCTCTGTTCCCCCAAATGCCAGGGTTGCCCCTGGGAGAGCAAAGAACCCAGAGAGGTCTCCTCATCCTCTGGATCTTTCGCCTGGGGCCACACTCAGTGAGCATCCAGCAGGAGATCCCTGCGCTGCCTACCCCTGCTCACCCAGCTCAGTATTTGATGCACGCATTTGCTGCTTAACACATAACATGATGCGAGGCCAGGTAAAGGACATCTCTAGAGTAGAATTTCCAGGGAACCTAAGCTCCAGGCACACACACCGGCCATACCTTAGGGACAACAGAAGCGAACAAATCTTTCTGAGAGCTGCTGTGAGAAAGAAACGGAAAGAAACATCCCTTTCTCCACGGTGCAACTGGCATCGATACTATGTCCTGCAGTAACCCCTTTGACATGTGGGGCTGTCCCTGCCATGGGAAGTGGGTGGTGATGGCAACCTAGGTGACCATACCTCTTCTCTAGCTCGCTCCCATCACGGACTTGGTGCGAAACATCTCCTGTGCGGTGACCCGACGGAACAACCTCCGGAGAGCCTTCCAGGAATACGCAGCCAAGTTTGACCACTGCCAGTGTGCCCCGTGTTTGAACAATGGCCGCCCCACTCTCTCGGGCACAGAATGTCTGTGCGTGTGCCAGAGCGGCACCTACGGTGCCAACTGCGAGAGACGCGCCCCGGATTTTAAATCGGGTAAGGGTCAGCAACTCCTGGTGAGGGAGCTGTCTTTTCCCCTCCAACAAGGGATGCTAGGCGGGTCAATGAAAGCAAAGACAAACTGCCATTAGCACCCCCCACCTTACGCAGACTCACAAGGAAGATAAGCCTGTAAAAAGCTCGACTCCGAAGTCCACCAGCCCTGGCATGAGCCTGTGGTGACCTGCCAGCTCTGTGGCCTTGGGAAAGTCGCCTGGCCTCTCTGTGCCTCCATCATCTCATCCAGAGAATGGGGATGATGTCAGCTTGTATCCAACGATGTATATACACATAAAGGATACACAGCACAATGCCTGTAATATGACTTAAACAAAATAATAGAAAATGCTATGAAATACAATGTGTGTCATAAACCTTTAGTGTGTTGTAATATAGAATGAAGATGGCTTTGTGATAGGGATAAATTAAACCATAGCTGAAGTTTTCATTCAGGGCTGAGTAATATTCCCGTTTACCTAATCCTCCTTAGGAAGGGGATGTGTCATAGGAGTAGGAAAATATTCTATTACCTGTAAACACATGGTTCAATTTATATTCCACTCAGAAGTTCCTATTTATCATGTGTGTACACATATACATATGTGTGAGGTAGGTTGCAGGTCGTTGACAATGATTCACGAACTGTGGCCATTTTATCCAGCTGTGGGGACCGGGAAAGGAAGTTAGTGGGGTGTCAGGCCCTAACTCCCCCTTATCCTCACAACAACCCTGTGATATGCCACCGAGGACCCCACAGCAGAAAAGTGGGGACCCCAGGTGGGCCTGGCTCCAAAGCCCACCTTCCCTGGGGTACACCATCACCGGGGACGGGGCTGCCTGCCTTCCAGATGCGGTGGACGGGAACTGGGGCTGCTGGTCTTCCTGGAGCCAGTGCGACCTCACCTACAAGAGATCGAGAACCCGAGTATGCAACAACCCCAGCCCGCTGCGAGGGGGGAAGCCCTGCGAGGGGGAGCATCAGCAGGAGGAGCACTGCTCCATCTCAATCATGCAGAACGAGTAAGGAGCCCAGCGGGCGGCAGGGTTAGGCCCCGCTAGCACAGTGAAGGCAGTACTACCTTCCTGCTAAGCAAAGAAATAACTGGAATCTCCCCTCTTCCAGCACAGTATGTTGGCGAGGCATTATACCAGTTGTTAAGCTTTTATATAAATACTAAAGGCCCCTTGCAGGAAGATTGCTGCAATAGGGCTTCCTACTTCGGTCTCCGCTGCCCCACCTGCTTCCCTCCCTTCTCCGCAGTCCGCTTGCTTGCTTCTCGGCAGCTTTGCTCCCTTCTGCAGCGCTTGGCTTCTTTCTACACTATCTTCAGTCTTTGCTCTGGCCTGGATATGCAAATTAACCGCCATATTGGTTGGGTTAATTTGCATACTCACCCTGATTTGGGTGGTGGGCGTGGTTTGTGGATGTAGTGAAGGTACGGTCAATTTGCATGTTTCTCTTTTATTAGAGAGGATATACATGCCACTCTATGTATATACATTAAATATATGTGTGTATGTACATGTTTATTATATGCACATATGTATTGTTCCCTTTTAGTGGACAAGCGTGTATCAATGACGATGAATATGGGAAAGTAGACCCCCCTGACCCAGAGTCAGACACAGGGTGTCCTCCTCCAGATCCTCCGGAAAATGGATTTATCCGAGTAAGCATCCTGACTTTCCCTTCAGGTTTGGGGGTTAAAAAAAAAAAAAAAGATAGAAGTTAAAAAGTATGCTTTTTCAAAAGTTAGAGTTGTTGTGTTCCTAGTTTAATAATCTTCTGTTGACGTAAAAAGTGGAAAAAGTGGTATTTAGAAACCACTCTTCCACCCTGAATTCCCTGGGGATGTCTCTACACCTGATTGTTGGGCCAAAGGATAGCAGGTTCCTTGTGTTACTTGGTTCCACCGATTCACATGCTACCCGAGCATTTATGTGGGTGCACCATGGCACTTGAGCATCAGGAGGGTAGAGGTGGCTGTAAGAACCTGCCCCTGTTTCATTATGACTTGTGAGATAGAGACCTGGTGGGGGAAGTGCCGCCCAGGGGCCTGGGTGGGGCTGGTAGAAGTGATGACTATGGAAATGCAGCTTATGCATGTTTCCCCTGCAACTAAAAGGCATGCTCCTCAGGAAGCTGTGAAATGCAGGACCTTGGCACAAGGGACTTTCCACTTGAGTTGGGTCTTGAGAGAAGGGAAGAAAATGTTGGGCAGAGAGAGGAATTAGCCAGGCAGCCAGTTAAAGAGACAGACACATGAGAAAGAATAAATGTTATATTCAAAGAACAGCAGATGTTTTGTTTTGCTAGGGAACAGGTTTTACAGGAAGAAATGGCAGGAGGTGAGGAGGGTAATATTCATAAGCGTGTAAGACCCATTATAACTTGAAAATTTTAGTGACTCTCCCTTTGACACACACACACACACACACACACACGCACGCACGCACGCACGAAAGGGACCAGTTAGAAAGTTGTCCTTGTAAGAGATTATAAATTTATAAATCCATTAACAAAAGCAGTGGCGATTTATAAATTTATAAATCCATAAACAAAGGAAAGGGGAACTTGGAGAGAGATTTAAAAGGTGAAATTGAAAGACTCTGACTGAGTGGATATAGGAGTGAAGGAATCGAAAGAAATCAGATGACCCCGAGGTGTTGAGAAACATTATTCATAGTGCTAATAATTTGTTGGTTTCGGTGTTAATTCTAGAATGAGAAGCAAGTATACTCCGTTGGGGAAGACGCTGAAATCGCATGCTATACTGGATTCAAGCTCGTTGGATACCAGTACTTCAGCTGCTTGCCAGACAGGACCTGGAGACAGCTCGATGTGGAATGCCAGCGTGAGGCCCGCCCTTTCTCATGGCATCTCTAAAGAATAATGCGCCCAAAATAAATAAAGCAAAGTCACCACAAACCAGGACATTTTACTACTTTTTAATAACTCTGGTGGAAAGATTTAGTGAAGCAGAAAATAGGACTCATCTGCTAGCACTAGATTCCAAAGCATCTTCAGATGTCAGTTTTGGCTCTGTGTGTTGGCCTCAGACACACAGGATGGCGAAACACGTGCTTAAAGAGAAACCCGGGAGGTCTGCTCAATGCTTCTCACCACAGATATCTGCCTAGTCCGATGTCCAAACTGATGCAGATTGAGGAGTCCCAGGAAAATGCTACTTACCCCCTTAGTGTATCTGTGATGGAGCTGCATGGGGAAGGCAGTTTTCTCCTTGGAGCACTTTACATCCTTTCCTGGGGAGGAGTGTGAAGGCTCCAGGCATAGCTGTGCTCCAGTAAAATCAAAATGAGAATCAGACAAGGCTCACATGGGAACTCAAAAGCTATAGTGAGACCCCATGAGCAGAATTGAGACCACCATCGGTTAGAATGATGGCTTGCTTTTGGGCAAAGGAGAGGGAAGGAGAAGAGGTTCCTGTAATATAATGAAAGGTGGAAGTACCTGGAATCTATCTTTGAAGGGAATTGAGCTAAAGGAGGGTCTCAGGGAAAGCCTGGGATCCTCAACCCTCAGGTTCTCTGATGACAAGGGGGCATTAAAACAGAGCGAATGGAATGAAGTGCATTAAAATCATCTCTTGTGTTGTATAAAATCGGCCTACATCTGGTGTGTATTCTACTCCACTGACGCCTCTAAAATTTTTCTGCTGCAGTGGCACAGTGCCTCAAGCCAGTGGTGCAGGACGTTCTGAGTATATCACCGTTTCAGAGATCGTACGAAATTGGAAAATCCATTGAGCTAACCTGTCCCAAAGGCTTTGTGGTTTCTGGGCCTTCGAGGTACACATGCACTGAGGATTCCTGGACACCGCCCATTTCAAACTCACTCACCTGTGAAAAGGGTGAGTAGCAGCTCAGGATTCCCTTCTCTCTCATTTACACACATGTGTGCATATGTACACATTAAATATATGTGTGTGCCTAGGGGAGGGGTCTCCCAAGGTTGGTAGCATAGCATCTACCATGGTGCTATTTCTTTTCATTTCTTTCTTTCTTTCTTTCTTTCTTTCTTTCTTTCTTTCTTTCTTTCTTTCTTTTAACAAGAGAAAATGATAAAATTTATTACATGCATGGTGTTATTTCTTGAGTGTGTTTTGGGAGGACAAAACAGGTTGTGAAAAGGAGGAGGTCAGGCAGAAATTAGAAGTTGTTGGTCGAGTGGATACCTTCAGATTTTAGAGATCGAGGTTATGTTTATTTTTCAATATACTTCAACATTTTAAGCTCATCCATAAAATCAGAATTGATAGCTAACAGAAAATTGGGTTAGAGTGGAAGGTCATTTAAAAAGCAGTACATACTGCTTTTTAATAATTTAAGCATTTTATTTTAACTTGAAACATAGGAATACACACTTACTCACCAATTTTCTGATGTACAACCAATTTTTATTTTTAATGAGTCCCATCTATGTTATCTGCTGACTCTGCCTCAAGTGCATCCACTTCTCTCCATTTCTACCTTGGGGACTGATCAAAATCAACATCTTCTTTCACCCAAACTACTACAGTAACCCCCTAGATTGTCTACCCACAGCTCTCTTGACCACTCTCCACACGGAAGCCAGAATTAATTTCTTTTCCAAAATTCAGACCTGCTTTTGTCACACCACTGCTGCTTAAAACCCATCAAAGACTTTCCACTGCTTATTTAGTAAGGGTGAAAGTCCTTCCATAAGCCCTGAAGGACCCTGTACAAGGCCATACCTTGTTCCCTGCACTTGTTTCTGTGTTCAATTACCCTGGTTTTCAGCTCCAGGGAAGTCACATGCTGCCTCACTTTTTAGCACTTTCATGCCTGATATTTCCTTTCCTTTCCTGCTGTTTCCTTCCCTTTTTCTCTTCTCATTTCACCATTTCTAACCTTCCCAGCTACATCAATTTCTTTGTTTTTATGCTAAGAAGGATGGCAATTCTATTTTTATGAGTGTGTTTGTTTGATTCATGTCTGTCTGCCTAAATAAGACTGTAAGCATAGGATCTCGGTCAAATTTTGCTCAATACATTACCCCCCAAACCAAATGTGGTACTGGGAATATTTACATCAATAAACATTTAAGAAATAAGTGAACAGAAATTTCACCAATTCCATTTTCTTTAGTTATCTGAACTTAACAGCAATTTTAGGTTGGAAAATGACAGCACATGAGAGCTAGAAAGGACCTTTGCGATGGAATATTTCGTACAGCTTATTTGGAAAAACCACAATGAATGTTCTAACTGAAAGAGATAAATGAGAATCTTGTACCATTGCCTTTGCTCCTAAAATCAAGTTTTTACTTGGAATCTGTTCCATGCACTGGACTTCACTCCTTTTTCTCTTCTTTCAGATTTTATGAGCAAATTAATGGGTCGTTGTCAACTAGGACAAAAGGAATCGGGATCTGAATGCATCTGTATGTCTCCAGAAGAAGACTGTGGGTAAGAGGCGCTCTGTGAAGCGTGTTTGGAAATTGGGAAGGCCAGTATAGTATAGCCAGCTTGAATTTTATTTTATTGTTTAAAGTATTACAAATAGTAGTATATATGTCTCCTTTTCCCCCCATTGAACTTTCCCCAGTCTCCCCTACCCCTCAGCACATGCCCTCACCTCACCCCGCCCCCATTATCTTACGTCCATTGGTTATGCTTATATGCATGCATACAAGTCCTTCAGTTGATCTCTTATCTCCCTCTTCCCCCACTACTCTCTCCAGCCCTCCTACTGTAATTTGACAGGCAGAGGCTTCTCTGCCTCTGTATCTATCTTTTTGTTCACTAGGTTATAATATTCTTTATTATCCATAAATAAGTGAGATCATGTGGTATTTTTCTTTCACTGACTGGCTTATTTCATGGGGCTGAGCTTCTTGAAGCACAAACATGAAACATATTAATTTTTCAAATAACTGATCTTCCCTCCCTCCATCCCCCCACCGTGCTCAACTGAATTCCTTCTTTCCTACTGGTTGCAAGCTTTCTCATCATCAAGTTTTTATGGCTTTTTTAAAAATTATTAAAACAGTCTCATTTTTATTATAAATACTTATTTCTGTCTGTTTTTAAATTTCAGATTCAGTTATCGCAAAGCTTTCCTCTTTCCTGAAGTATAGGGCAAAGTTGTGACTCCAAAAGTTTAGAGTAGAGAAAGTGGTGTGAGTATGGAGTTCACACACACACACACACACACACACACACACACACCTCTTTGTCAATTTTTTCATGTAGGGGCAGAGCATAAACATTATATATCTTCATGTGACTGCCATGAATAGTTAGCTATCTCCTCTTTGTTGTTATAACTGTCCATTCTTTGCATGAAAAAAAAAAAAAAAAACAGGAGTGTTGATGTCACTTATTATTGAAGGTCTACTTTCAGCTGAAATTAATGCAAAGCAGCATTGGTTTCAGATAAAATTTTGTTTCTCTACCTCCCACAATAAATCCAGAGGTAGGCAATCTAGGGCCAGTGCGATGACTTGGCTATTTCAGGTAGCACCGAGGCCCCTTCTGTTCTCTGCTCTGCCCTCCTCAATCTGCCTCGTGGTCTGAGATTGCTCTGCTGGCACAGGACAAAAGGAAAGCTGAAAACACACACATTCCCTCCTCTGAAGGAGAGTTCCTGAAAGATCCATCATTTGTTTTCATCTCCTTAATCTCTTATTCACATGGCCACATGTCTCTGCAAGGGAGGCTGAAAATGCTATTCTTTGGCTGGATGTGCAGGCACTTTTTAATAAAATTAGATCACTCGGGAGGAAAAAAGAATGAATGCTGGGCTAAGAAGCCAGCAGACTGTGCCCAACTGTTACACTTTAAACACTGAATAGCTCTCATGTTCCTCTGTGCTGCAGGAGCACAAATCTTCATTCATTCATTCAAGAACTACAGCATCTTTTTCTGTATAATTCAGCCCAAAGGTGGCTCTATCTACCCTCCTCAGTGTCCACCACAGTGGTCCGCCATGCAGCTTCTCACTGCTGGAGTCCCTGCTGGGTGGTACTGAAAGCATTCATATTGCCCATTGAATCCAGGGGAAATGTCTTTCTCTATCTTTGTAATATCAAACCATGAGAGCACAGATTGCCTCTGGAATGGTCTCAAGTTCTGCCCTACCTCTCTAGCCTCTTTCTGTAGTCTCACTTCTCTTTTCTATGGCATTGGAGGTGTCTGGGGGAGTGGCTGGCCCCAGCAGAGGTGTTCCAAACTTAGTGAGTGACTTTTTCTTCTCAGCTGTGGGCTCAGTCTTTCCTGGAAACAGTCTTGCTGTTGAACTGATGGTTAATTCTAAAATTGACATCAGAATAGAGGCTCTGATTTGGAGTGACCAAGGAGTTCTTGACCTCTCAGTGGGACAAGGGCTATGGCCACTGGTTACTTCTCAGTAGCAGGATCCATCACCTATTTAGAGAGATTACACAAGTTAACAACGACTAACTTAAAAGTGCGTGCTCTTAATCATAACACAAACCCACTTGCAAAGCCATATAATGATAAACAATTCTGGTGCTGCAATTAATGAGTGTTACTGAGCTCAGAAGAAGTACAGATGAACTATCATGGGCTAGTTTCAAAGGATAGACAGGAATTGAGCTGGACACAGATGGGCAGAGAGAAGAGATAACATGATACTGATTGAGCAGGTCATGGATGACAGCAAAGGAAGAATAATCGTACCAATTTAGAAAATGATCAATACAATGTTTAGGTGATACAGAAGGATTAAGGGGGTGGGAAAATAATTCCAGAAAGGCAAGTGGCTTTGAATAAAAATATGAAAGATCTTGTAAAGAATTTAAAATTCACTTAATTCAAAGGCAATTGAGAGTGATACCAAGATTAAGATAAATGTTTAGAAAGATGAATCCCAGATCATGTGAGGGGATGAAAAGAAGAAAAATTGGAGGGTGGGGAGAGCAGGGGAAAGATAACTGGGTAGTAGAGTTAACATGTTAAATTGGCTGGATGCCATTGCTTGTCTTCTGGTCTTCATGTGTAAATGCTTGCTTTCCTCTCTTGGGCAGCCAATATTCAGAAGATCTCTGTGTGTTTGACTCAGACTCCAACAGTCACTTTACTTCACCAGCTTGCAAATTTATGGCCAAGAAATGTTTAAATCATCAGCAATTCCATTTTCTACATATTGGTTCCTGCCAAGATGGTCCACAGTTAGAATGGGGTCTTGAAAGAACAAAGCTTTCGTTCAACAGCACCAAGAGAGAATCCTGTGGCTATGATACCTGCTACGACTGGGAAAAATGTCCAGGTAAGTGCCAATGGTGACCACATACTAGGAATGCTCTGGCCTAAAATTTATCTCAGCTAATATATCTTGTTTACATTCATACACTCTCTCTTAAAATGAACCTTGCCTTAATCAGAAATAATTCCATTTTATTGTAAAAAATATTTATAAAGTGATTTAAACAGAAAAGAAAAAGTAACTCACCCACAATTAGAAATAACTGGTTTAACAGTTCTTATGTAAATCTTTCTCCCCTTTTTGCTATGCATATATAATAAGCACCATCCTCAGACCCCAGTAAGAAAAGTACACATCCTGGTTTCGTGCTTCAGGCACCCTTCCCCTCTCCTAGCTTTAGAGGGCATATATCTGAATTGTCTAAGAATTCCTTTGGCATTTGGGACCAGCTAGGCCAGCAGAGGTAGAGTGCTCTGTGCCTAGACTGGGCTCCTTGTGGACACCAATTGCTGAAGCAGATTCCTCAAATCTTTTATGTCCAATTGTAGTGCCTGGAACCAGCCAAGGCTGGCTATATTATTCGGGCAGGATACCCTGAACCCAGACAGGGACACTCATAGACTCAGGCACTGTTTCTCTGACCCTCCCTTCCACCATGAATGGAGTCAACCAGATGTTTGAAGACTATAGCGTCATCTCTGGTTCAAAGCTAGACCCATTCCCAGAGCAGGCTGTTGAGCCAGCAGGATAGTCTCTCTCAAGATTTCTTGGAATTGGACTGCTGGTATGGTGCTGACACTCTGATTTAGAGTGATTTTAATAATTTATATAGAGAAGTATTCCATAAAAAAAAATTTCTCCAGGGATTGCCCTGATTATATTACAAATTTAAAAAAATAACTTCATACTCTAAATCTTATTTTACATATTGCTGCTTTTCACTTATATCATAAAACTATTTTCATATCATCATATATTATTCTGATACATAATTTTTAATGTCTGCAAAAGTCTATATGGACATTTTGTAATTCATTTAACCAATCTTCTGTTAGGCATTTAGATTTTTCCCAATGTTTTGCTATTACAGACAGTGCTGTGATAAACAAATCTATCACAGATAAATCTATAATGTTAAATTATTTTCTTAGGCTATACCTTAAAAAATGGAATTTCCAGTTAAATATTATTTTAAATTATTAAGCTTCTTGTATCAACTTGCTTTCCAGAAGTTTTTACCATATCATATTCCTATCTACAATGTATGATAAAGACTGTACTCCCACACTCTCACCAAACCTAGAGTTATCACTTCTTTAAATCTTTGCCAATTTGATGTTTAAGAAGTGGTATTACATTTCTATTTTCTTTAAAGTGTATTGACTATTGGCATTTTATTTGTTAATTGCTTGGAAGCAGAATTTCACAGCAGTCCATATGCTCTAAGATGAAGTTTGACCCTGAAATAACCCACCTGAGATTCATGTAATCGATCTATATAAAAGCCTAAGCAACTATCTAACTGTTTGATGGTTCATCTGGTAGCTATGATGCACAATGACCACTAGGGGTCAGATGCTCCAACCCGTAGAGCAGGGAGCCCGATTGCTCTTGAAATCAGCCAGGGATTAGGTTGCTGCTGGAGCATTGTCACCTGAATCTGCTTCACCCACACCATGGACCCAGAGAAGAGGAAGCCCAATTCTAGGATGTGTCACTCAAGAACTCACAATCTGGGGCCCCCTGGGGGATGTCAGAGAGCCTGTTTTGTCCCAATCCCCACAGGCTAGGCCAAGGGTGCACCAATTTGTGCACTGGCCTCTAGTATACCTACAATTATAATATTTTAAGAATAGGACTTAACAGAACTCGAAAAGGCAGCCAGATATCCCATGTGTCACTCTTCAAAAGCTTATTTTAAAATGAGGCATCAAGTATGCAGTAGACACTTGTTGAATTGTTACACCAAATTTTTACTAAAACCACCTTACTTTTGGAAAAACATTACTGTTCCCATTAAGTCCTCTTTTGTTTTCCAGTCCAATGTTCTTCAAGTCAGTCCTCAAAAAGGGGAGAAGCCTTATTTCCTAAAGTTTCATCTTGTTCTGCTTAAAGCTGATTGTCAAAGTCCAGCTCCCTTGACAGGTGGCAGGATGGTACTCATGACAAAGAGTAGACACAGGAGCCATGGTCAACCAACCATCCAATGGTAGCAACTCAGGAGGTCAATGTCTGGGGCTCCAACCTTTCAGCCATTTTGGAACAAGGCAATTCACTGTGAGAGACAGCAGACCAGGTCCTCATAAGTACACTGCCTGATTCCAAACACTATTAAGTCATCTTCCAGGTGAATACTGTTATTCATTCTCTCACTGCCTGACCAACACCATTATCCAACTGACATCTCTCTCAGAAACAATAATTTGTGGTAGAAAAAACAACTGCCAGTGTTATGTAACATCATTTTAAAATCTAAACATTTTCTTTAAAATTTGTAGTCTAAGAACATTATTGTCAAAAATACATGCAGAAAATAAAAGGAATTTGGACAAAAGATCAAATCAACATGGTAACTCAGGCATGCTAGGGATGTTTTAGTGTTAATTTTCACCCTCCTTATCTATTGTGGAGAAGAGTTCTTCATCAGATTCCGCTATTGCAAAGACCTGGGGGTGGGGAGGAGAGAGCTACTTTTCCACAAATTATTATTTTTAAATCTGCCTGAGTAACAAATAAGCTGCAGCTTACAGTTTCATAAAAATTGGTCTTTGTTGTTAGGTCTTCATTGTACATATGTCCAAATTCCACGATCCCCAGGAGTCAAAGGTTGTCAAACAAGAAAAAAAAACAACAGTAAAATATTTGAATACATGAATGTTGCCCAAGTTAATCACACTAAAACATAAATATTTTTTAGTAAAAGATAGACATTGTTTAAAGAATTGTTTGGCCCTGCACACAATCAGAAAAACAGAAGCACATCCTCCCCAGGAGATATGGTCTGCCTCTGGCAGCCTCTTTAATTGATAAGCAAAAGTCAATGTCACAGAGAGTTCGAGTCAAAAAGCACTATAGACCAGCATCAGTGTATGCACCACAGCGTTTATAAAGAAAGAGAAAGTCAAGCATTGTATTTGATACCCGCCCCACTCATAGCAAGGTGGGAGATTATTAATCCTGAGTTGAATTGAATGTCAGTCACTGTGATTAAATTGTGTACTTTGCTACTCCTGTCCTTCTCTTTCTAACACAAAACAAGAAAAAGTTTAAAATGGAACTTCAAAGTGACATGAAGTTCACTTTGCAAAAGTTAGAACACAAACGATTTTGCAATGAGCTGGCTTTTATGCATATCAACTTCAAAAGTACCTACCTTCACTAACAAGAGGAGAAGACTTATTCAGCAAACAGCCTTTGGTATCTAATAGAAGGGAGTCACTGTACAAAGTATGAGATGTCTGAAGATAAAAGGCCTTTGTCCATTTGCACTGTTCACCATAATTGGAGGAATGACTACACAATGCTTGCCTGAGTAATTTTAATGCAAGGCCATAGGATGAGAGTTGTAGGAGAAATAAGAATCTTGGGGCCTGGGCGGGTTTTATAAGGTTGAAAGCATGAGAACTGGGTGCTGAAGGAAAGTTTAAGGGAGGTGATGGGAAAGGGCTGGTACAGGTGCTCTGAAAACAACCTGGCAAAGAGCGTTTCAGCCGCAACTAGACTGAGTGGTGACAGTGGCCTTTCCGGAAGCCTGGGACTCTGGCTTTCTCTTCAGAGATGGAACAGCCCACTGTCCTTCACCAGACTCCATCCTTCCCGACAATGGACAAGACTTTCCACAACTGGAATCTTCTCGAGGGGGTCTACAGGAGGCACAGGAGGGAAAGCATGCTTTTTCATGAAATGTTCCTACCGAGGGTAGAAAGCTGGAACCTAAGAGTGTCTCCCCACTCCCTTGCCCTGTTTTCCCCCATCAGCTGAGACACATGGGATAAAATCGACATCTGCCTCACAAACACTGCCCTGTTCATGAAATCGCTGCTGGGTGTCGGGCTGATTCATATGGTGGCAGGAGTCATTTAGGTTGTAAAACCTGCCTTCGCCACCTAATTGTGGAACCATGGACAAATCACTTAATGCCTCTGAGCTCCGTTTTCTCATCTGTAATTAGTATGCTAAAAGGTATTTTGTTTGTTGTGAGGATTATTAAATGAAATAAAGCATGTAGATAGCCTATTAAATGGGTTTTATAGTACATGCTCAATAAGTTGTACAAAGCTAAATGTACATAGGCAGTGACGATGAGAAAAGAACAGAAAGGACTAACTGATGACACTGTGGAAATGGGCTGGCAGGATGGAACTGACTGGGTGAGAATGGTGAGTGAGAAGGAGGTGTCAGAGATGACCCAATGCTGCGTCTTATCTTACTGGCTTACTATGCACTCTGCTTTCTTACATGCAGGCCACGCCCTTCAGCCACCATTGAGTATTGGGTCATTGCCTTTGTTTTAGCATTCTCAATTATTGCTAACCAAGGAGCTGGCCATTCTAGGGACAAGTTAGGTAAAATCTCACCCTGAGAACTGTGATGATCACATTGTCTCTCTCATTGCAGCCTCTGCTTCCAAGTGTGTCTGCATGTTGCCCAATCAGTGCATCAAGGGTGGGGACCGACTCTACTGCGTCAGGATGGGGTCATCAACGAGTAGCAAGACAGTGAACCTCTGTGAAGTAGGAGCTATAAGATGTGCCAACAGGAAAGTGGAAATACTTCATTCTGGGAAGTGTCTGTCCTAACACCGTTACCGATGAAGAAATTGACTGTCCAAAATAACCCCTACAAAAGGGCATTCTGGTACAAACAGCAGACTGGCATGCTCAGAAATTATTGACAAACTCTTTTGTATTAGTTTATTATGATTAGTCTCCCTGTCTTTCCTCTCTTAGCTTCCCCTCCCATGACACACTGCAACATATCCCTAGAAAATACCTTACATATCAATCTAGTAAACTCTTCTGTTCATGTATTAAAATGATGAAATTTTGGAGGATCTTTGAAGCCTGTGGGATTAAACACCCTCACAAGTAGAAATAAGAACAAAAGCCATCATTTTCTTCTATGAATCAATAAACATAGAAATCTACAACTTGTAAAACACATTTTTTAAATTGTTTTTATAGAGGAATGGAGATGGAGAGGGAGACAGAAACATCAATGCTCAGAGAGAATCATTGATCTGCCTCCTGCTTGCCCCCCACCAGAGATGTAGTCCACAACCCAGACATGTGCCCTGACTGAGAATTGAACCATTATTCCCAGGTCATAGGTTGACACTCAGCCACTGAGTCGCATTGCCCCAGCGAAAAACACATTCTTGAAAACCAACCTTCATGCATTCATTCAACAAATAGTTCTGAATGGCTACAAGGTGCCAAGTACTGGGAGGCAGCCTGCCAGAGGAGATCCTGGAAGGCATGGGTCCACACTGGGGAGTGCTCCCTTGACAGGCACACAAGACTGCTTCCTACTTAGAGTGTCCCTAGCGCAGGATGCTTGCAAGAGCAGCCAGCGCTCTTGGCAGAATGAGAAGGAAAAAGATAGGTGCAGCATTTTCTCCATCTGAGTCCCGAGGCGTAGGGAAGAAATAACTTTTCTGGTTCTCCTGGCTCCGAAGGAAGGAGCACGAAGAAGAGGAGAGGCAAGTGCTCTGAGGCCATCCTGAACCTTGGACATGAACTTATAGAAAACACTAGAAGGAGACTGGCTGCCTCTCCCAGGAAGCTCTGGGGCAGAGCGACGAGGAGAAAAGCAAAGCATCACCCCAAGGAAACACACAGACCACCAGTAACACGGAACTAGATTTAGTAGCAAGTCCAGAAGTGACCCCCATCATGGACTGTCCATCAGACAACTCTGGGCATCTTGCCTAGTCCACTTCCTTGCTTTCAACACCAGAGCACCAGGACCAGCTCCTACAGGGGGTAGTTTGGGGGGGGGGGTAGTGTCCTTGGATGAGACCTGCCCCTCCTCACTTCCATGAGGTTGGAGAGCTTGGAAACTTGCCAGAGCAACACTCCTCCCTCCCCAAGTCCTCTGACCCACAGGCCTCATTGATGCTGGAGGCGGGGAAGGTGATGAGGAATAAATTGGAAATGCAGGTGGAGCCTTAAACTGAACCAAGGATATTGTTAGTGCATTAGTCCATTAAAGTTTGCATTAGGTTACTTTGCATACACCACTTATCAGTTGAATTTTTCACACTCTACTATTAATATTAATATAGCAATTTAGTACAAGAAGTGTTAAGAGCTAGTGATAAAACCATCATCATGAAGCAAAGAGCAAAACTGAACATATTAAATGCCTGGAATTTGGGCCTAAAATCTCCACCACTATCCTAGAAGATTAAATAAATTCCAGATCAAACGTAAAGGCTTTATTCTCTTAGGCTACTAGAAATGAATATGAAGCATTCATGCTTGTTAAGTAACAGGAAACCAATTCAGGCCCTTTTTTTCAATATGGATTTTAATTTTCGTTTATTCTGCAAGATACTGACAAAATAAAGGAGACCCAAGTTTAAAGAACTTTATAAATCATCATGCTCCACATCTCAGATGTCCTGGAAGCAGAATCCTAAGACTATGAGTGAGTTTCTCTTTGTGGCAGTCTTCAACAAAGCTCACTGAATTTTAGAATATTTCACTGTTGTTTTTTTCTCTTTCTACAAAAACCTGCAACTCGCCCAACCAGATTCCCTCTGTTTAAAGAACGTGTCTCTCCTGCAATTTGCAGAAAAGCACCCAAGAACTAACCCTAATCCACACCTTCCTAAGTTCCATTTCTGCTGAGTAGCAAGTCTGACAGGTCCTGGTGTGTCTGTCTGGTTGGCGCTGGACACCACATCCCTGCAGCTTGATTAATTGGATTCTAAATGGCTGGCTGTCTCTGAGGTCACCTTCATTCTTTTGGAATATATCATCTGTGGAATCAATGAGGCATCAAGTTTCTAACCAAACAAGTGGCCTGCAACATTAGAGCTGTATCTATTTTATGTTATGGGAGTGAGGCAGCCACTGCTGCTCTATTTGTCTTCTTGACAAGTTCTAGCTGTACAGCTTCAGTTCCACCTGTCAAATGTCAGGTAGTCGAGATGTGTGTCACCAACTAAGGGACTCCAAGGAACAGATGGTGCCTTGAAAGTCATGCTCACAGTGATTTATGGAGAAAGATGTTCATGACAACGTTATTTATAATGGCAAAAATGACACAGCCTAAATACCCAGTGATAAATTATGGTCCCTCCATATGGAAATAATACATGACCATTGACCAGCACCTCTTTTAAAAATATATTTAAAGGACATAATAAAAGATGGGGGGGGGATAGGGTATCATACTGTATATGCTTAAACCATGAAATTGTGCGTGTAATTCCTTTGAAAACAATGACTGGAAGAGCAAATTTCTGGGACTTGGGGTTATTTTAATTGTCTTCATTTTCTAGAATTAAAGAGGTACAGATAACATCTTTTGGAAATTAAAAAATTAGACAATTAATAAAATCAAGCCTAAATTCTCAAAGATTGGTAACAGTTGGAAATACTCAGTAGCTCTTTGAACTCCGAAAAACTCTCTGAGACTCAGTTTCCTCATGTGAAAATGGAGACAGTACCAGCCAACTCACTCTATCGATTCTGAGCGTTGATCGGAGTGTATGTATATTACAGCTACTGAGTCTAAAGTGAATTGTGCATTCAACTATCTTGGATCATTTTTATTATTATTATTTATTATTCCTTTCAGTGGAGAAAATGCTTAGACTTCATCCTTTATTTCCTATCACACAAGACACTTTTACTGCCAACCTTGCCTTTGAAGCCTGATTTCTTAAGGAGCCCACAGGCTTTCTTAGAATGTTACTTGGAGAAATGGCTGGAGAATTCAGACGTTATATCTACCTAAGCTGATGAAAGGTGTTTATTCACTGTGCTCACACAGGCGTGACGATGATGATTAATTTCAGCAAGGAAAGTTGAAAGTTCTCTTTGGAATGAATCATCCTTGATGTCAAATCAGTAGAAAGATCAAAATAATCCAATTTTCATTTGAAAAAGCAGAATCAAGGACACTATTGAAGTAGCTATAACTCTAGTCCAGGTGAGAGATAATAGTAGTTTGGAATGAGGGTGTTATAGAGCATATGGAGAGAGATAGCTAGATTCAAGCTATGTTTTTGAGGTGGAATCAATAGGACTTGCTGATGGTTTGAATAAAATTGATCTTAGAAAGACACCAAAGATAACCCTTGGGTTTCTGACTTGAGCAAAATTGGGTATAATGATAGGAAAGGGAGCTGAGGGAAGTCCCAGAGGAGTTGAGAAGCTTTCCTGAGCTCACCAACTAGATAGTAACAAAACAAGGACCAGAATCCAAGTCTCCTGATTTTTATTGAATTGGTCTCTTCCATATTAAATTAACTTTCCTTGGGGATTTTTTCAGTAGCATATACCATTTAAAGCACAGGGGGAAAAAATGTTGTGTTTAGAAGTCCAGTTTCCAGGAGTAGTCACATATTAATTTTAGATATGGGTGTCAAATGCACATGTCTTCAGAGCCAGGAAACATAGACAGGTGAATATCAGGTTGATGATTACAGAGAATGGGAAAAGGGGTGTTATTCTTGATGAACCTGCAGCATATTATATATACCACATAACGGCATTCAAATCAAATTCAAATGTAAAATCATTTCTAATCACTCTCCTGCCAATTAAAACAGATTTATATGCCGTGTACCAACTCCTGCTAATTAAATGTAAAGATGTTTGGTAACACTTTATTTTGCCTTTGAACACAAACGAAAAAGAAATAAGTTCTGTTCAAGGACACAACTCTTTTTTTTTTTTTTTTTTTTTTGAGTGTTGATTTTTATTTTATTTTTTATTTTTTTTTTTTTTATTTTACATATTTTATTGATTTTTTTTTTGCCCCCCTCCTTCCCTCCCATGTATCCCCTCCCTCCCCAGAGTTTTATGTCCATTGGTTGTACTTATATGCAGGTATACAAGTCCTTGGGTTGATTTATAAGGACACAACTCTTGTTCGGCCACTTATTGGAAATAACAATGTGTTTCTAACTGCGTGAATATTTATATGTAAAACAGAAATATAAATTTTATTCCATTTACAAAGAACTAAAAGAAAGACATGCCCAAACCAATGAGGATAATGAATTGTGATTCAGTGATTACGGTTAATCCAACCTTTCATAACTAAAATTCAAATAAATTATTTGGATTATTTTGCTTGATGCATTTATTGTTCCCTTGAAATATGATGCCAAGAATCCTCAACCTCATCATTTAGAAAGAGATGACAGAAAGAGGAAGAAAAGAGCAATTCAAAGTAGAAGCTTTCATACAAAGTGATGTATGATCATATGGGTATTCAACAAGAAACCGGTGGGGGGAAATGTGGCATAGAAAGAACTGTTTTCCACCCGCCTCATGAAATAGCTTAATGTTTAGAAAAATGTTTAATTTGTATATTTTTAAATTGGGAAACCATTCAGCCTACATGTTTCTTGCCAGTTTTGCAATTTCTAAATGCATTAATATAGAACCAAATTTGGCATACTATCAGTGTAGCGTAGCTTTGACAAGATGCCTGAATGTCTTTTGTAGGCTTAATTTTTGAAAATACTTAATGAAAAGTTAAAAATTTAATCCATTATGTATCTCACAAAACAAAATAATTAAACAGCAATGAAATAACTTGAAAGCATATGATCCAA